TTATAGATATTCCTAGTGTAGTTGATGATTATAATTATAAAATGAATGGAGTTGATTTAGCTGATCAATTAAGAAGCCATTATTCAACTCAATTAACAGCTCGACATACTTGCTTGACACAGCAATAGTTAATTCTTATTTGATTTATAAAAGAAGTAACATATTAAGAAATAATTTACCTCACAAAGTCTTTAGATTACAATTATTATGGGCATTGATAGAAGATGCTTTGAAAGAAAAAATGTATTTAGGAATGACAACATGGAATAATCAACAAGTTACTCCTACTTCCTCTTCCTCCTTTCCAGACAAAAAATTAATATACATAACACCTAAATATCAACTTCCTGCTGAAAGATTGATGATTGGTAACCATCTTGTAGAATGGAGAAGTGATAAAAGAAACTCATGTGTATTGTGTAGGTATTTATTAATAGGTAAAGATAAAAGACCTTCTTTCTCTAATATTTGGTGTACATTATGTGATGTTCCATTGTGTTGTAATAATAATAGAAACTGTTTTAAAATTTATCATGAAAAACAAAATATCAATTTAAATGAGGATTAATTAATTTATTTATCAAAAATAAAAATTTTTTTACATTCTGAAAAATTTAATACATATGAGGTATCTTGTTAAGTGAGGATTTTACTAATTATATCTTTACATTAACTTTAATAAATTTAAACTCCAAGTTCTGAGGAATAAAAATGGTATAAGATTTAATAGTGTCATTTTTTTCTATAACAATTTCCACAAGGAGTGAAGTTTTCTTTTTATTTTTCGTGAAATTTTCTAAAAAATTACTTATTATTAGAATATAAATTTTTACCAATAAAAATAATTAACAAAAGTTGTATTGAATAATTAATGTTATGAACTTAAATAAGATGTAAATAACTACAAAAAATTCAAAAAATTTTATTGTCTGTAATAATAAGTGATTTTCCAGTATCGAATTTATCACATTTTCATAAAATTTGTGCTACAGTTTAAGGGATAATACTAAAATTCTAATGTCTGTCACTTTTTGGCGATTTGATTGGTCGGTTCTATGCACTGTGATTTAATGCGCAGCAGTTATAGAGTTGTATAAAATGACAATCTTTGCAAAAAAAAAAAAAAAACCATAGCAGATTTCTAAAATAAAACCAGAATTAAATTATTATTATTAATATTATTGATATTAAATAAAACAGCAGATTTCTAAATAACAATTTAATTTATTATTATTATTATTATTAATATTATTGATATTAAATAAAACAGTGGATTTCTAAATGACAATCTTTTGCAAAAAAAAAAACCCCCCCCCCCATCATTTTTATTTATTACTTTCAAATCAATAAATTTTTTTAATTATAATTGGTGATGAATAATTCAGCAAAAACATTAGTGTGAAAACTTTTGTTACTATATGATCAATGAAAAAATCATTGTTCAAATAATTTGATTGTTTTTAAACTGATTTTATAAAAATTTGAAAAAAAAAAGAAAAAATATATATAAATACATATAGCTCTCTTTTAAAAATAATCTTATGTGCAATTTGATAAGGTTGAAATAGACAAATATGTAGACATGTTGACAGTTGTTACAAAATGTAATAGAGTGAAAAAGACCACTGGAAAAGGTGAAATTTTCAATAGAACCATAAACAACAAATAATTTTTAATAGACTTTAACAAATAAATTGATACTCTTAAGCAAAAAAAAAACAACAAACCAAAGTTTTACATTGGATGCATAAAATTTGCACATGCAAAGGGCTATTTTTTGTTTCTGTGATTATTTCCATTTTTACAATTTGGTGTTTTATTACCAGATATAAGTCTATTACTATTTTTTGTGTTTTATTAACAGAATTAAAACTGAATAATATTATTTTTTCTTGGATTGTTTGTATAATCCAACAATAAAAATCTACAAAAAGTTTCTTATCTTTTTTTTTTTACTGTACACATTATTATTTATGTTTATATCATGCAACATACAAAACACAACACTGAAGAACAAAGAGAAGCCAATACTGCTTGACAACACAGACACAGAGCCATGGAAACTGTTGAACAACATCAACAACAGCTCCAACAAGATGCTGATGCTCATCATCAATATTGTGCTAATAATCCCCAAACACACAATATTGCCCATAACTTCTCTGAAAGTGCAAATACAAGCAGTTATTCAGATATGCACCAGATCAATGTTGCAAACATGGCTACATGTAATTACTGTAATGCATTCAAGCTTCCAGCAGAAAGTCCAGGAATGTGCTGCTCTAATGGAAAAGTGCTATTAGCAGAACCCAATGTCCCTTTGGTTTTGCAATCTCTTTTTTCAAGTCAAGATGATATTGCCAAGCACTTCTGTGATAAAATTCGTCTATATAATTCAGCATTTACTTTCACATCTGTTGGTGTCAAGTTAGATAATGAGCTTGCAAATGCAACTGCTGGTGTTTATACCTTTCATGTCCAAGGTTCAATTTACCATCAAATTGGCTCATTACTGCCAGAACCTGGATCTGAACCTCACTATCTACAGATGTATGTCTGGGATACTGAAAATGAATTGCATCATCAGATAAGCACCCTTTCTGATTCTGGCCTTGATCCCACTATTATACAAAGTTTGAAGGTTGTGCTTGATGAGGTGAATCCCTATGTCATCAATTTTTGACACATTTCTGACCTACCTAAAGAGACTTGACCAAAGGACTCATAACGTTCCAACAGCTTCTCAAGTAGCAGCAATTTGGATTGATGATGATGTACCTTCTGATGCAATTCAAAAACGAGATATTGTATTGCATACACAAACACATCAGTTAATCCATATCTCTGAATTCATTGGATGTTATGACCCTTTGGCTTATCCACTTTTGTTTCCTCATGGTGAACAAGGATGGACTCCTTGCCAGATTCCATACAAAAATATTCCTTTTGAGACAATTAAAGATCCTAATGATGAAGATAATAAATAATAATAAAACAAAACATAGAAAATTTGTGAGTCCAATGGAATATTATTCATATCAGCTTCAAATTTGACCCCATTCTATCAATCTACTTTTACAAGCAGGATGACTCTTTCATCAATATATAGTTGATATGTATGTTAAAATTGAATCAGATCGTCTAAATTTCCATCGATATAATCAAGACAAAATTAGGAGTGAATTGTATCAAGGTCTTCAGGATGCAATTTTACATGGTGACAATAATCCAGAACATGTAGGTCGCAGAATAGTACTTCCTGCTACATTCATTGGGAGCCCTCGAGACATGATACAACGATACCAAGATGCAATGGCCTTGCTACACATTGGCAAACCTGATTTATTCATAACCATGACATGTAATCCAAATTGGCCTGAAATTCAAGCTCTGTTACTCCCTGGACAAATGGCTCAAGACTGACCAGATATTACAGGTAATTATTAAATTATTTTATATATATATATATATATTTAGATAAGTCTATCAGTTACTACTAATACAACCAACTCATCACATTAATTTCAATCTATTATCAATAGTACGTATCTTTCATGAGAAGCTTCAAGAATTAAAGAAGGATGTTTTTGAGTGCAGAGTCCTTGGACATGTTGTTGTGCACACACATGTAATTGAATTCCAGAAACGAGGTCTTCCACATGCACACATTTTGATTATACTTCATCCAGAGGATAAACCACAAACTCCTGATATTGTCTGTGCTGTAGGGATGTTAATCGATTATACAAAAATCGATTTTTCCACAATCAATTAAAAGTGATTGACAAAATTTTACAATCGATTGTAAATCGATTATCGATTTAATCGAAAAAATTGAAAAAAAATCAAGTGTTAAATAAATAAATTAACAGTAGTAATGATAATAATAATA